AATCTGGGACAACAAACATTCAAATCACCACACGATTTTGACTGTTATTCTTAGTGCTATTGCCCCATAGTACACCTGTGCTTAGTGCTATTGCTCCATAGTACACCTGTGCTTAGTGCTATTACCCACAGTACACCTGTGTTTAGTGCTATTGCCCCATAGTACACCTGTGCTTAGTGCTATTGCCCCATAGTACACCTGTGCTTAGTGCTATTGCCCGTAGTACACCTGTGCTTAGTGTTATTGCCCATAGTACACCTGTGCTTAGTGTTATTGCCCATAGTACACATGTGCTTAGTGCTATCGCCCCATAGGACACCTGTGCTTAGTGCTATCGCCCCATAGTACACCTGTGCTTAGTGCTATTGCCCATAGTACACCTGTGCTTAGTGCCATTGCCCCATAGTACACCTGTGCTTAGTGTTATTGCCCCATAGTACACATGTGCTTAGTGCTATTGCCCCATAGTACACCTGTGCTTAGTGCTATTGCCCCACAGTACACATGTGCTTAGTGCTATTGCCCATAGTACGCCTGTGCTTAGTGCCATTGCCCTATAGTACACCTGTGCTTGGTGTTATTGCCCCCACAGTACACCTGTGCTTAGTGCTATTGCCCCATAGTACACCTGTGCTTAGTGCTATTGCCCAATAGTACACCTGTGCTTAGTGTATTGCCCATAGTACACATGTGCTTAGTGCTATTGCCCCATAGTACACCTGTGCTTAGTGTTATTGCCTATAGTACACCTGTGCTTAGTGCTATTGCCCATGGGACATCTGTGCTTAGTGCTATTGCCCTATGATACACCTGTGCTTAGTGCCATTGCCCCATAGTACACCTGTGCTTAGTGCTATTGCCCATCGTACACCTGTGCTTAATGCTATTGCCCCATAGTACACCTGTGCTTAGTGATATTGTCCAATGGTAAACATGTACTTAGTGATATTGGCATTACAATAATACTAAAAATCTATCTTGTTGAATTATGTTTCTTAGTTGCATTGGAAATAAATTTGGCAAGGTTTCTAACAACAGTCACATTAGTGGTGCTCATTAAATGAATAAATTTGTCAATTGTGGAAAATAAGAAAATTCTCTGGGATATATTTTATTCTCAAGGCATTATAGAATGGGCAAGTCAAACAAAAGTGAAATTCATCCTAAACTTACAATAAAGGTTACAATAAACACAAATTATGTCAGCCCTTTCATTATGTAATGGTCTATTAGCTTCAATGCGCAAATTATGTGCAGAGATACGACATTTACAAAGACAAGTTTGATATATTGTCAACAATGTTTAGATATTTTTCTTGACAAAATACATATTGCAATAAAATTATCAATATTGTTAACATATTGGTTATGCCAAAAATCACCAAATTCATACGAAAAAAGTAGTTCTTTCACGTTCCATGCCCAACATAAACGGTCATTATTAGCCTCCGATTTCTCAAACATATAGCACTTATAAGGTGGACGATGTGTGGTATGTCTAAATTTTTAATTTTTAATTGTCAATATTTAACAATTCGTACCAGACTACAGGAGCGTAGGGTGTGGCGCCCCAATTCACTACTAGGATAAAACGTTAATATATATATATATATATACAATAGACCATTTTCCGTTCACTGCGAGAATCACGCGTTATGCGTGAAATCGAACGTAAAAACAGGACAAACAAAGGTCATAGCGTCGTAGTCGCGTCAAACATCGCGTGGGATTCGACAAACGCGAAAGTATTTCGGGGACATTTCCATGCTTAATAATGTGCTGTCCACATTTGATGATAGGCAATTTCGATTAAGTAAGGGTATTCGGAAGCAATATTCCTCTGTCGAAGATCGGCCGGTCAATGTAAGCTACGAAATAAAGAAATTCTAGTTCAAAATCAAATCGTTCGATTTTTGCGGCAGACGTTCGACGCGCGTCTTTCATGCATCTCGCGAGATCTCGCAATTGTACGGAAAATCACCTATTACACTTCTGTCAAAACATCGATAATTGTAGATTTGGAAGATCATGGAAGTATATCGGAAGCAGAGAAACAAGTAGAACAAGTGGTCGGCAAGAATGGACTCAATGTACTGATCAACAATGCTGGTTTCTGTGCAGGTACTCTTAATGAGAAATTGGAAGATGTTACTCCAGACTCGATGACTAAACACTTTAATATTAATGTAATTGGAACACTCATGGTCACCAAGGTAATGTGTAGAGCCGTTTGACAGTCCATTATGAATGAATGAATGAATGAATGAATTTTAAGAAGACTCCTGTGTTATATATGTGTATTGCTTTACAAATCGATCTGAAAAGCTGACAGGCGTGTTATTTTAAATTTATAGCGATTCTTAAAACTAATTCGCTATGCAGAAAAGACGTTTGATGGTGATGAGATGAGTGCACCACGTGCCGTCATTGTAAATGTATCCACCGAGTTTGCCTCCATGGATGAGAATAAACAAGCTGGGATGTATGGGTATAGAGCCTCAAAGGTAACGTTATCTTCCGTAATTCGTGCAATCTCAAACCATCTTATGAAATACCTGGTTAGTATTTGTTATATTTGATAATTATGGAGCTGCAAACATACCTCATTATACAACACATATGTACATGTTGCTGATTGTGTGATGTGATTCACTTCCGTTTTTATCCTAAATATATTGTAATTTATTGTAACATGCAACGTATTCAAAACAGTTTAGAGAGTGAGTATGCGATGTAACTGAATGTTAACTCTATGTATGTAAAACACAACTCAATCTATTGTTTTGGCCATTCCAGGTTGCATTAAACATGATACATACGAATTTAACCATAGAATTGAAACCCGACACTATATTGTGTATATTGATGCACCCTGGGTGGGTCAAAACTGACATGGGTGGACCAGATGCTTTGTTAACAACTGAAGAAAGTGTACGGTCAATGCTGGAGGTCATAGGGTCACGAAGACACGAACACAATGGATTATTTTATGACTACAAAGGGAATCTGACACCTTGGTGAATAGAAGCTTACTTGCCATTTAATTGTGCTAATCATATAATAAATGTTACTTTATTTATTATTAAGAAAGTTGGATGTTTGATTTGATTATATTATTTGTATCGTGTGCAGTACAACGTTCGATGGCTTTAATTTCCATTTCCAATGCTTGTTTTTCGGTTTTATATTTATCTTGTTTGAGTGTGCAATACTGTTGTGTGAGTAACTTTATTTTATTTTTGCCAATATCCCACCATGTCTGTATATTTACATAATTATTTCGAAGTGATTGCCACTTCGCTTAAAAATCAGTTAAGATAGCCACATACACTTCATCGCGCAGAATTTCTGTATTCATACACCACACTGGACTTTTGTTTTTACTGTCACCAATGGCGATGTTGATGTGGACAAATGGAATGGTCAGAAAAAGCTAATGCGCCATTGCTTATGTCAATATTCTTAATTTTCCCACGCATACATTTGCTGACATAAAACCTATCAAGGCACACAAGCGTACCACCACGCCCCCAAGTAAAGTTTAAAGTACTCCCGTGGTATTGGCGCCATGCATCAAACAGTTTGTGATGATTCAGGACAGATTTGAGGAGCTTTGCAGTGCGCATGTTCGGTTCAGTCTCTCTATTACGGTCAATGTCGGGCTCAATGGTACAATTAAATTCACCTCCCATAATTACTGGGTCATTATTTAGAGAGCTGATGAATTGTTCTATTTTAGTAAAGTATTCCACACGCTCAGTGCCATTAATGGGTGCATAGACATTAATAATATGAACAAGATTTTCATTAATTTGAACATGAGCGTGCAACACATACCCAGGCATGATTTCACATTGTGATAAAATATTCACAGTTGCTGCTGGAGAAAACGAAATCGCCACACCCGCACGATTAACGGTGCCATGAGAAAAAATACCAAGGCCACGCCAAATATTTCCAAATATTTTCATCGGAGACAAGTGAGTGTGTTTCTTGTAACATATAAACATTTCAGAGATGATCACGCTTAAGATAATTGAACACTGTACCGTTTGAGGGCGTCCCGGCGACCATTTACGTTGTATGTTGCGCATGCTATTGTGTTTGCCATCTTAAAAGTGGGAATTAAAAATCAGCGATAAAGTTACCCCTTTTGATTTGCTGTTTATTTTTTTAATAAGTCTGTGTATGCGAGTTTTATCAGATGTGTTCAACTGCGTGGTATTGTGGTAGTTTATCAGATGCCGGACCAATATTTTAAGATTGGGGCAAAATTCTAAACACTTGTCTATAAATCTACGTTAGTGCAGTGTAGACACCAAAAAGGTTTTGATATTTGCGTTTGATATTGTTGATTCGCTGCTATCAGTACATGTTGAAACATTTGAAATGATAGACCATGTGGGAAGTATGACAAATCGTCCTATCCACAAACTGTATTCACTTGAGGTGAAGACACCCACTCCTTCAGATGAAGAGAGTCCACCACGAGACACAGAACCACTCTCGTTGTCACATGGAGGTGAAAATAGAGATGACACAACGCAACAAAGTGATACTGATGCTAGACATTCTCGCCCAAAACGACGGGCTGCCATTGCGGCTAGACATTTTATACAAGATCGTCTCAAGGACTTGTGATTATACCCTGAAATTGTTTATCGGATATTGCCTGCTAATGTCTTGGATTAATTGCCGTTAATTGGTTGAACATTATGAAATATATTGACTTTTTGTTCTCAGTTGTTTACCTATACGAGTAATATTTGAACACATTACATCGTGACATTTTATTATCATGATAGAGATATTTTCTAAAAACTTTAATGTTAACTTTGATTCAAAATGTTTGATTATTCAAGTCTTATTACATGTTGTCTTCTATGATCATTGATAGCGTTGATTTATTAAAATGTTATTGTTACCAACCTGACTTATCTTAATTTCGGTGAGTATGACTTTTCGGAGATCGGGTAGGTTCCAAGCGACATCTCCACGTGCCCTTGCTAGAAGACGTTGTATTTCAGTCGGCAGTTTTTCTAGAATCATGGGTACAAGAAGTTTTCCGTATGAGTTCTCGTCTTCACCCAGTGCATGTAGACCGCGAACATGGGATTCGAGCGAGTCGTAGAAGTGACGGAGACTTGTGGCATCTTCCGTCGGCGTTGGTAGTTCCCACAGTGATTTCATGTGGGCACTGATTCAGCTGATTATGACTTGTTTCTGTCCATACCTTTCCCTGAGTAATGTCAAAGCGCTAGCGTAGTTGGCATCAGTAAGATCAAGTCCTTCAACTGTGCGTGCGGCTTCACCTGTCAGAAGGCTTCGCAGATAGGTGAACTTCTGGATATTGTCAAGTGTTCCATCGTTATGTATGGCAGCAT